AAGAAGCTATCAATCAGTAAGTAAGGAACTGACCGACTTCACTGAACCTTATTAATGCTTTAAGTTTTATTTGCTAACAGAATTATGCTAATTTGTCTAGCCTACATGGAGGAGGAAAAAGTAACTGCTTTCATTTAATTTCTACACCTGGAACTTTCTGAGCTCCGTTCATTTATGTCTTTCTTTCTTTTTTCTGCCTGAAGAAACGTATGGTTTGTTTACATCCTCTCTAAACACGGAATAATCTCTGAAAGGACAACAGGTTTGAACGTTATTTTAAAAGACCACCTTTATCGTCAAAGGCACAGTGAAACTGTGACAAGGTTAGACATCAGTCATGGTGGTGGGGGTGGGGGCGGGGGGACACCTTTCTCTTTGTTTAAGCAGGTAACAAAGTGCTGCTCTTCATCTTTTGTTGTCAAGGTTACAATAATAAAAGTTCAGTTATTATTTTGGAGGATGCAGGAAGAGGATCTTTGGTTCAAATCAGTCCACGCTGGAGTTTTATTGCATCACAGGGTGGAGTGGTCAAGTTGAAAACGTTTCCACCCGTGTGCGTATTCTTGAGCACCAGCTCTTCTCCCACAGAGACATCAAAATGATTAAAGCTGCCTCGTCAGCCTCACGCGTGTGCAAACACAGCGCCATCCACCCCCGTCACTCATTACACCTCTCCTCCTTTTTCTCTTTTAGGCCAATGTGACCTTCATCTGAGTCAAGTGTCGCTACTCAACATTCACGGAGAACTCTGCTGCGAAAAAAAAGGAGGTGGGGGAGAAAAAGCTGAGAAGAGATTAAAAAGGAGAGCACACGGGCGTGCGAGGAGGAGACGAACAAGTAAGAAAATAAAAACACAACGAATAGGGCGGAAAAGAAAAACACAGCAACATCGCCTTTTTTTTTAAACTCCTCTGAAACCTTTCTCAGCAAACAGCCCAATTGGCAGCATGAATCAAAGAACTGAAAAGATAATAAAGAGGAGGAGGACGGGTGGGGTAATCGACAAGAGGAAAAGAAAACGCGTGAAAAAAATTAAAAACGGAGAAGAAACGTGAAAATAAGGAGGTAAAGGAAAACCACATGGGAGGAGAGGGCAGCTGTCAGAAAGGGATCTGGAAATTATAGTCATTCTGGAGAACTCCCGGGAAGAAATGATTCTGCAGCGATACAAAGAAAGAGAAGAGACGTATGAGCCTTTCATGAGATAAGAAAAAATAGCAGAAATTTGGAGGAAAAGGGATTGAATTTGGTGCCGTATATTGGATTTTAGATTTCCTAGTGTTTTGTTAAGAATGATGCCGGAGCTGTGATTGTGTGTGAGTGTGCGCGCGAGATGCTTGCATCCTATCCCGACAAGGTATTAGTGTGTAAAAGGAAAAAGGCGGCCATTTTTCACCTGTAGAGGGGAGAAATATAAGGGCTGCCGCAGCACAGACACAAACAAAGTCAATCTACCGGAGCGCACGGGGTTTAAAGCTTTGTTCTCTGGGAATAAAGGCTGGCACGCACTCCATCTTGATGTAAAGTCTAAATCAGAATGTAATGAAAGTACATTAATATGGTTTTAGCGCAGCTATAAGTCATTGATATCTAAATGCTGAAGCCTCTATAATTCAGATAAAAGCAGCTGATAACAGCTGATGAAAATGCACGTCCACTTTTACCTTCACTGATTACTTTTTGGTGTAGAAGGAGTTAAGGCTTCGCAGCTTTATCTTTGTCTGGCGTTTATAATGTACAGCCTCCCCTTCAAACAAAGGCCCAGGTTCACTAAGATGGTGCAGCGATTTATTTGCCCTGTTTTAACACATCTTTGGCACCTGCTATTGATCCCTTTCCAACATCAAACTCACAAAGTAATCACAAATGAAACGCTGGTGCAGACAGATGCAGACAGGAAGAGTGGTGTTCCACAATGGATACGCTACAAAATAATTTTATTATATAGTTTTGAAGTCTGATTGGAAAACAGCAACAGGATTTAATGCACATTTCTGAATAGATTTTTCATGGAGGCAACACTATCTATGTTTACATGGACATTAGTAATCGGATTACACGGCCATTTGGAATAAAAACGCGTCATGTAAACGCCCCGTTCGGATTATTTGTTGATTCAGCTCGATCCGAGTGAATTTGTAATCAGAATGAGACGGGTGGTTTGTGCCGACTCATAATCTGAACGGTGTGCATGTAAACACAATCTGATCATTTTATTCTGATTGTGGAAAACTGACCATGTGCGAACTATGTCAACCTCACGTATTAGCGTCTGGCTACATGCTAATATGTCGAGGAAGCAAAAGTGGTCGGTGAGCGACACAACATTTCTATTATAGAAACTTTGAAAGAGCTCAAAATGATCTGTATCACCTGTAGCTCAGTCAGGGAGTGCAGTGACGTCTCCACCGTCATTAAAACCTGTCGCAGGTCCATTTTGGGCGCTCGGGTTTGTTTACGTTCATCCCAGAAGTAGAACAGAAGTAGAACTTCTTCTTCTGTGTTTTTTTTAAGGAGAGTGTACCACTCTGCACATGTCAGTACTTCTGTTCAGAATAAAACCCCGCTGCATGTAAACGCTCGTCGTGAACGGATTGTGCCCATGTAAACGATACATTTGGATTATTTAATCTGAAAACATTTGAATCCGATCCAAGAATTTTGTGCATGTAAACATAGCTCTTGTCTGATTCTCCTCAGAGGAATAGAGGATGAATTACACTTTTGTTACATGTCTGTCCTTTTTTTGAAAAGGCCAAAGTATAACTCGTCCTGTTGGCAAATATTTCAGGTAAGCCACATGTCGCAAACACCACGAGTCATTATGCTCGTTCATAAAACAGTTTTGTGAAATGTCTGCACAGACCAGTCTGTCTTTCTATGGCCATTCAGTAATACCCAGTGAAGCAGGCCATGTCCCATACAGACATGAGTTTTGAGAACTAAAGCTAGCACTGCAGAACCGAAAGACGTGGAGCAGAACTCAGCGAGGTTAACATGAAACTGTATCATCTTTTAAAACAGAATTTAAATCAGCTTAGAGATTCTCTTTGTGGTTAACGAATTTTCCTAACTGAATATGAAGTTGCTGTGCGTCCCTATCAAGATGTGATCAATTCAAACCCAGCTTACGTTCTCACATGTTGACTGGTGAGGCTCTGTTAGAATAGACCTTTACTGTCACTGCACCTAAAGAGAACGAAATCTGGGTTTGCTTCTCAGAGCAAAAGTAAAAACAGTATAATATAAAACAAAGAATACATATATAAAATAAACTGTATAAAAGGTAATAACAGCTTTTAAACTCTCCAAATGTGCAACACAAGCAGACTGATACGACACAAGTTGTCCCTTATTGCACTTATTCAGTTCTTGTTAAGTTCAGCAAGAGCTGACAGATAAAAACTATTTTCAAATGTTTGTTCTTGTCTTGATTGACCTGAACCTTCTCCCTGATGGTCCAAACAGACGTGTCCTTTAAGATGTTGTGGGCTTTTCCTCTGCAGCAGGAACTCTGTAGATCTTCCAGTGAAGCAGCCCTCAATCTTCTGGGCTGTGTTGATAACTCTCTGGAGCTCTTTCCTCTGAGCCACTGTGCAGCTGAGATACCCCACAGTGATGCAGAATGTTAAGATGCTCAGTCTCTGGGTGGTGTTGTTCCTCCTGAGCACTCTCAGGAAGTACAGTCTCTGCTGGGCCTTTTTCAGCAGCTCAGAGGAGTTCACGCTCCGGGTCAGATTCTCCTCAATATGGACTCCCAGGAAACTGTGGTCAGATACTTTCTCCACACTGTCTCTGCTTGTAATCAGAAGTGGGACTGCCATTTTCTTTTTCCTGATGTCGATAATCAGCTCCTTAGTCTTTGAGGTGTTGAGGAGCAGATTGTTCCCCATGCACCAAGCAGTCAGTTGTTCCACCTCGTCCCTGTAGGCCATACGTGTCAAACTCGTGGCCCAGGGGCCAAATGTGGCCCTCGTTGACATCTTATCTGCACCCAAGATGTTATTTTAAACATAAAATACTTTTATCACTTTAATTTTTTTCAGTAATCTTTGATTATGATGTCAAAAGTGCAACAGAGAACATCAAATGAGACCAATCAAATTCTTGTTGAGGAACCTGCAACCAAGAAAAGATGTTGGGTATCGAACTTGAGTTAATGGAGATTCTGAAACTGGCCCTTAGTTTGAAAAAGGTTTTAATTTTGGCCCCCTTTTGTAAGTGAGTTTGACACCCCTGCTGTAGGCGGACTCTTCCCCCCACAGAGGAAATGTTACTACGTTGTTTGACTGTTACTACCTCGCTTTGGTCTTCCTCTAAATGCTTCCATAATACCTTCTTTAAACGTGGACAACTTGTGCCAGCACAGAAGAGAGAGGTTGTTTGGTTGACAGAAAAACTTGAGGTGCTTCCTTTGCAAGGGCTTCATGGATTAGACTGGTATGCAAACTTCAAAAACTGCACCCACAGAAGGTACAGTTGATGAATCTTGCCCCTAGTTGTGTTCCTGCTAAGTGTTGGAAAACAAGATTGATCCCAAACCAATCAGCTTAACATGAGGCGTAACACCGGGGATGCTTTACATAGCTTGCAATAAAAGCTACAAACAGAGTGAAACGGCTCTTTCCAGGGAGTACCATCTGCCTGCAAAGGTTGTTAATGAATTTGAAGATGTTCCAAGTTGTCCACTGGACACCCGTTACGATGCATTATGTGCTACATTAAGTAGTTTTCAATCATGAAGCCATAACGCGTAAATGGTACTGCTATTCTCAGGGTTAAAATCTATAACTCATATGGCGTTGTGCTCCTTTAATCTCTGAAACAAACACTCATGTTAGTGCATGTGTGAAGCAGACAGTAGGTGTCCCCCTCTTGTTTGAAGTGTGTGATGAAGCGCTCTCTCGTGTACGATTAGTTGTCGGTCCGATCGAGCGACTAGAAACTCCAGCAGACTAAAGTCAATTGTCTTTGATAAAATAAGTAATTTGTATGTCAGCATGGAGACTACAGAGACGTATGAGCAGAAGAGAGACTCCAACACAAAGGTGCACGTGGATAATGAGCATAATCAATACATACATGCACAAAGCTTTAAATTAAGCTTCATACAAGACCTTGTATTCCTCAATCTCCTTTTTTTGCTTTTCCAGTGTTTTAGCACGCTCACTCCGCTCTTATTCCCCGATCTATCTGTAAAATCCTGCTTCTCCATCTGTGCCTCTCAAAGTGTGTGTTTATCTTTGCGAGGATATTGGCTGCTGATCATAAATGGCTTTTCACTGACAGGGTGCCGTCAGTCAAGCTCAGGGGAGGAAGAAAATCAGGGGAAATGAGAGGGAAGGTGTGTTTTGGGGGAGAGGCCACAGTGAATTCAGAGAGATTGAGAGAGCGATAGGAGGAGGAGAAGAAAAATGTGAGACAGGTGGAGGCACGGGTTATCTACGTTGCTGCAGCGTGACAGGTGTCAGGGATGCACTGATAAATGTGTTGCTCCTAAATGCAAAAGAGAAAGAGGAAAACCCTCATCCCCCGAGCCAAATGTTAATTCACCCAAACGCAGCCGTGCACTCTGACACACAGTACGTGCATCGCAGCAAACTACGAGCTGATGACGCGAAAACAAAACGGTAAACGGAGGTTCGTTTACAGCAACAAAGCAACTGCTGTTTTAATTTTCTGCTCATTGTGTTCATGCAAATCCAGCACTTTTCTCTTTACCTGTTGTGCCGATAAACTCGGTGTTTTATGCACATCACTCTGCAGGGAAACAATCAGTGCAGGAAGAGTCACAGCCGCCTCTTCTGTTAGCCAAATTAGACTTTTATTTACTGTCTTTCAAAGAATGTGCAACATGTTTGTATTGTATGGACTTTGTAGCTGGTGTTTTGCTTTTATTTGAAGTTCATTGATAGCTTCCAACCTATAAACAACCTATTTTTCTCGGAAATTGTTAATGATAATGAAGAGAGCTAAATCAAATTAAAATCCATTTCATTTAGAGACAAAAGACGGGTTTAGTCTGAAGTCAATCACATGCACTGATCAGCAGCAGAAAATCACCATATGAAAAGATTTTATACGCTTTTAAAATGTCTAGACTTTAAATTCTGTTTGTGTCTTTTGTACCAATTTTTTTAAACAATTTTGTGGTGAATTCCCCAGAGAACATATTTAGCTGCATCCTGTTCGATTCTTCCAAAGAAGCGTTGAATTGCACTGACAGCCAAACAAAAGGAAATATAACAAAAACAAATTGCATTTCCTGTGAAAATGTGAATTCTTGTTGCTGAATGAATTTGCTGAAAGCTACTGAACAAGCTAACTGTAAGTCTTACTTGAAATACTTTGTACACCACTAGCTGAAAAGTACTATGAATCTACTGAAATTAGCACAAAATTGTGAAGTTATCAAAAAAGTAGATAAATAAAAGCTGAAATTGGCAGAAAAAAGCTAAAAGTAGCAAAAAATGCTTAAATTAGCTAAAAGAAATCTGACAAAAAAAAACACAAAAAGCTGAAATTATAAGAAAAAAGCTCGTCAGAACCCAAAACAGCTAAAATTAGCAGAAAATCAGCTGAACAAAGCTGTAAAAGCGCAAAAAGCTGAAATTAGCAGAAAGAACCTGAAAAGAGCAAATAAAAGCTGAAATTAGCTGAAAAATAGCAACAAAGCTTAAATTAACAAAAAAAAAAAAAACAGAAATATAGCCAACAAAGTTGATATTAGAAGAAAGACAATGAAAGGAGTAAGAAAAAAGCGAAAAAGAAAAGTAAAAAAAAAAAGCATAAAACAGAAGAGAGAAGCTAAAAAGGAGAACCAAAACAATTTTTAAACAAATGGTAAAAAGTTGTACAAAGGGTTTGAAGGATGGGTGGAAAGCTCCATTTTCAATCTAGAAAACATGGTAATATATATATATATATACATATATATATATATATATATATATATATATATATATATATATATATAATAGAAAAAAAATGTAAACTGAAAATTTCACAACTACCAAAAGTGACAGCAGGAATGTCCTGAACTAGCTGAATGTTTTGATGAGTGAACTGTTAAAGCAGCACCAACGTTGTGGGATGATTAGATGCCTGTATGTAAAATAAGATTATTAGCATTCACACAATCAATCTGTGACAGGCAGCCGTCAATCTGGTTGATGTAACACCACTTTGATGGACTTTCTAAAAGAGTAGAGAAACTTTTCCCATTTTTTATTTACAAATATATTTATTTATGCAGACCAGTTATATTCTTTGCTTTTATGTCGTGTTATTTATGCAAGACATGATTGCAGGCCAAGTCTCTACAGACACACACACACCGGTTCCCCTCCACCGAATCTGATGAGGTGAACGAGTGTGAATCTGCTGCATCTTGCATTCCTCCATCCTTTCTGTCCACGCAGCACCGCTCCTTGTCTCGCTATCGATCCCATCTTATCTTCCCGTAAGGCTGAATTCTCTCTTCTCCCTTCCTCGTCTCGCGTCCTCCTACCCTTCTTTTCACCCCACTCATTGCTATCGATCAGTCTATGTGTTCAACAGAGTAGAGCGCAGGCAGTGGTTAATGTAGAGCCCGGCTGGAGGAGGCCTGCTCATGGTTCCTGTACTGCTTCTCTCTCTTAATGGGTCCAATCAGCCCCTAATAGACCCCGGCTTACAGCATCGAGACCTGCCACTCTCCTCTGACTCAGCTCACCTTTCACTTCTCCTCCTTTTGACAAATATCTGTCTGTGCTGTGTAATACACATTTCCTGCCAGCTTTATATTGCTGATGACTGTTGATCCGGCTAACTGATATGGTTGCTTTATTTTTTTTTTTTTTTCTTTCGAGGGACATACATTTATTCATTCGTAAGGAATTTACTTGTGCTGAGTATGCACAGATTTCTTCAGAAGTGTCCTGCTTTGCATTTTTTCCAGTAATGCCCATTTATTCATGGAAGCAGCACAGTAGAGCCACATCTGGCTAATTTTGGCCTTTGGGAACTGCCCTGTAGCCAGCCAGAGCATAAAAGTCTTTTATTATCCTGTTTCTTGCAGTTACAGTGCACTTTCACTCTGACTGGGATACGTGCCATGCTGAAGGGCACAAGAGAAGCACTGATAGCTTAGCAATTTCTGCTAATACAAAAAATGTTATATGACCGTTCTTAAAAAGGACGGGTATATTTATACTTGTGTATAATGGTGACAAAATGGTGAAACAACAGAGTTTCTTGTTCTGGAGAAGTAAATTCACAATATTTTGGTATGAAGCTGAAATGATTTAGGAGCTAATGCTTCCAATGCTAACATTACCTAGACTTCTAACTAAGTAAATCAGCAAGTTACTTCAAAAATTACTTTTGACACATTAAATATAGAGCAGTTTGTTAATTGACCCAAATCAAACCTTTAGAAAACATGTCTAACCTAACTTATACTAATATTAGCTGTCACAGCCTTTGCTGATCTTGCATAGCTTTTACTAGCTTCTGTTTGTTTGGATGGATGGATGGATGGATGGATGGATGGACGGACGGACGGACGGACGGACGGACGGACGGACGGACAGACAGGGAGGGAGGGAGGGAGGGAGGGAGGGAGGGAGGGAGGGAGGGAGGGATGGATGGAGGGATGATGGATGGATGATAGATGGATGATAGATGGATGATAGATGGATGGATGGATGAATGATAGATGAATGATAGATGGATGATAGATGGATGATAGATGGATGGATGATAGATGGATGATAGATGGATGGATGGATGGATGGATGGATGGATGGATGGATGATAGATGGATGATAGATGGATGGATGGATGGATGGATGGATGATGGATGATAGATGCATGGATGATAGATGGATGGATGGGTGGATGGATGGATGATGGATGATAGATGGATGGATGGGTGGATGGATGATGGATGATAGATGCATGATGTATAGACAGACCAACCAACAGACATTCTGGTCTCTTCCACTTTTACATTTGAGTCAGAATATTTAAATGAGTGTTTCCAAGCATCCTTCTCCCAGAGACAGCTGTGTGTAAACTCTGTGGAGCTGTCAGGTCATCTGAAGAGACAAAAAACTGATGTGAGAATAATTTTATTGTCATTTGTTCTATAACATTTGTAATGTTTATGATACACGTATATATGTGTATATGATACTTTATGTGTAACACTAGGCAAATAATCTGACTAACTAGTCATGTTTTTTTACTCAGTTTGACTTATGTTAGTAATTCTCAGTTTTTATTAGTGATCTCATCATGAAGCATGCCAAATTAAATAATAATACCATACATGGGATATGGTATACGGATGTTAAACAACTGCTAAGTTCATGGCAAAATCAACACAGATGTTCCTGTTTTTAGTATTTTACACCACTTTACAATGTAGCTGTTTATGTTTATTTTTTCTATCAATTATTTTATGTACTTTTCATTTTATATGCTTTTATATGATTGTCTGTCGTCTGTACCTCGTCGGTGCTCTTTGTTTAAAACAGGTCTCTCTTGTAAATGAGTCCTCGAGGCTCAATGACACTAACCTGTGGAGATAAAGGTTGAATGAATGGGATGACTAAAATCTGCAATGTCAGCTCTAACAACCTGTGAAGTGTAACTTGCGTGACTCTTCCTCCTGATTCTGAGAAAACACCTTTACGCACACGTCAGCATCATGGTGGTCAGCATTTCACACAATCAAACTGGTTCCAGTCCTGGAGCACATGTTGTCTGATCTTTGAGTCAAGCGTTAATAAATATACAGGCGCATCTCGTAAAATTTGAATATCACGAAGTTACATGTTTTTGTCATTCACTTCAAAAAGTAAAACTCATATATTACATAGATTCATTACACACAGAGTAAATGTTTCCAGCCTTTATTTCTTGTAATTTTGATGATTGTGTCTTACAGATAAACTTCTTTCAGCTGTTCCCTTCAGGGGTCATCATAGTGAACTAACTCTCACTTCCTGGTGCAACCACAGACCACTGAGCTCCCACAGCCCTCTGAGTGGAGCAGAGAGCT